GCTCTATCTTTTTACTATTTTACTTCTTAGTTATGATTTTAATAACAAGTTTATAAGTTAGTTCATTTCTATTCCACTATTATATTGCAATTTAAATTTTATAAATTATTAATTTCAGTTTTTATAAGGGTTCTAAATTGCTAATCATAATAGCTTTTGTTGTGTTGGCATAGAGTACACTTACTTGTTTTTAGTTTTTTATATAATTATTTCTTTTTAGTTCATAACTAATTTAATTTAGTTTTAAGAAAATGCTTTTCACTTCAATATATTCATTAGTAAAAATGAAATGAAATGAAATATATTTGGACACTGCACATTAAACAATGGTAACGTTAAAATCACTCTAAAAGAAAAATGGCGCCATCATCCAAAAAAGGTGGAGGTGCTAGAAAAAGTTAAGTGTTAAATTGTTAGTGTATCGAATATAGTACATCCTCACTAGAAATATTTATAAGAAATTGATTTGATCAATGTGAAATTAGTTGAAATGTAGTATACAAGAGGAGAAAACATTTTGTTTGAGTCTTATTTGTTATGTCAAAATAGATATGTTTTAGAAACGAAAATTGTGATGGGTCATTTCAAAGTAAAACTCACACATAGAGAGCCGATGTAATAAAATGTACTTCATAATACTTTATAGTGTGTTAATTTTGGATTATTCCATCATGTGAACTTAATTTAATTATACTTCATTATGAAAAAAATATATTTACTCTTAATATGTGCCCCTAACCACTAAATATTCTGGATCCGCCCCTGGGCATGACCTTAAGCAAGTCAGGTTGATGTGGGCTTTCTTCTGCCTTGAAAACTGCAAAGTGATGTCAACGGTGACGTCAGCCTTCAAGGAATTGGGCAGTCACGTAAGCCCGAGATGCATGTAGCATGTCGAATCTATGACCGAGTCGAGACGGATCGGATCAGGCCCAGTAAGGGGTGGTTCGGTACGATATACCGAATATTTTGTCGCATACATATACCATACCGTAAACTTTCGGTATGCAAAAATACATACCGTTATCATACCGAAATTTCGGTAAATTTCGGTATACCGAAATTTCGGTACGGTATCGGTAAATTATCATGATTTAATATAATAACAAATTATTATATGTCAAATGAAATAAAGAAAATCAGTGTTAACAGTGATATGCTAAAATCATTAATGAAATTAATTATAAAATACCAATGAGATAACCTATTTGTGTTCTATTCAACTTTGAACAAATAATATTATAAATATGTATATATATTTCAACACACGATATATGAAGATAACAACATATTTTGCTAAAATAATTTAAACAACATAAATATAATTAAAATAACACCGATCTCCAACAAAAAGTACAAATAATTCAAGAAACATGGATATAAAGTCATTTATCCTTGAATTAGTGTTGTGTTTCTAGTTATTTTTATAATTTTAAGGAACCTATTGGCTTGGAATTACGGTATGACGGTATACCGGTATACCGCTTATTTGTGTTGTCTGATATTGCCGAGTATCGCAAGTCTCCTAGTAATTAATGACAATACCTCAACCCTTGTACACGATGAGTTGATGCTACAAATCTCATGGGAAAAGCTCCGTTAACATCATATGACTTTGCTCATCTTAACTCTTAAGTAGCCACAATCCATATATAAATCTTAAGACATATGATATCATCCACCTTTTGGGAAAATCTCTATTTACTAGCCACAAAAGTTGTCTCACAACACACATGTACCAGTCTCGATGCCAACATTTTTTGTATCATTAATTATGACAGACCTTTTTGCGGTATTTAAACATAACAATATTATAACACCGCTTCCTTACATGGTTGCATACTTGCATGTCTACAAAAATATAATTGTGTTTGTCTTATCTTATGACTACTTCATCTTTGGTTAAACGGCCCTCTCTATCAATTATCAATGGAGGCAAACAAAAATTAAAATCGGCAAATCAAATTGAGAAATCGAAAAATCTCTATTTTCTGAGTAATCAAATGCTTTTTTTAAAGCTCAATGTACGGGTTAATTGGTTAACCAAGAGATAAGAATATCATCAGCTTCATCGTGGTGATCGAGATTAATATAAAAAATGGATAAAAAAAAAGTGTTTGATATGTATTCGTCTTGCATAGCCCGGTGCCATGGAGCGATATAAGGCTCGGCAATCACAAGTTGAAAGGTATTGATTTTACTGAAACATTTGCACCTACAGTCAAAATGGTCACGGTACGTACCTTTCTTACAGTTGATGCGTCTCTTAATTGGGAATTACATCAAATGGATGTATATAATGCTTTTCTTCATGGTGATCTTGATGAAGAAGTATATATGAAGTGTCCACCTGGTTTTCATATTGGCCCTCCGGGCAAAGTTTGTCATCTTCGTAAGTCCTTATATGGACTTCGTCAGGCACCACGTTGTTGGTATGCTAAGCTAGCTTATGCTTTGCGCTCTTATGGTTTTCATAACAGCCCCTGTGATCATTCAGTATTTGTTTATCGTCAAGATAATATTTCCATGAGCATTCTTGTTTACGTTGATGATCTTGTTATTGCTGGAAATGATAGTGCTTCTATTGCTCAATTCAAAGCTTATCTCAGTAAATGTTTTTGTATGAAAGATTTGGGTAAACTCAAAAATGATTCTTGGCCTTGGCCTTGAGGTAGCCCGCAATTCTAGTGGCATTTTTCTCTGTCAACGTAAATATGCTTTGGGTATTTTAACCTGTGTTGTAAGAACCGAACCGGACCGGCCGGTTCGACCCGGAACCCGGTCACCCGGCTCTGGTGCCGGTCCGGTTGAATGGAGACCCGCAACTATGGAACTAATCGGAAATAACCGGCGAACCGCTATAACCCGCGACGGACCCGGACCGTCCAAAACCTGTTTAAACCGGCGGCCCGCGCATTTATTCAGCAAAATTTAGCTTCCAGGGGATTCAAACCCAGGTCACCAGGGCAAACATGTGTAACTCCAACCAGCTAGACTACTTATGTTTTGAGTGCTTCCTTTCATTTTTATGTTTTTAGATTATACTTCCGTAACTATTTAAGTTATTAAATCAGAATCACAATAATAACCATTTTAACAAGTAGTATTAAACTATTAATTAATATACTAATACGTATTTATGAAATATCCATTATATTTAGTCATCATAGTTGTAATTCTTATATAGATTCAAAGTATTATGTTCCCATATTTTCCATCCAAATACACCTTTAATCTTGTGAGATTGTTTGTATATTGGTACATCAAGTTTTAATTCAATCTTATAACTATTTTTAAATTTTGAATGAAAATTATTTTTGGTCATACAACTTTAATCAAATTTATAATTAGGTATATTTATATTTTATTTTTCAATAACCATTGACCGGGTTGACCCGGCGTTGACCGGGCTGACCCTCCCGAGTCCGGGTTGACCCGTGACCCAGTGGCTTTTCCGGGTCGCCTCCCGGTCCGGTTCTTACAACATAGATTTTAACTGAGACTGGTCTTCTGGGTGCCAAACCAGCTAACATTCCTATGGAAGAAAATCACTCCTTAGATCTTGCTTCTGATGATCCGTTGGATGATCCATCAAAATATAGACGTCTTGTTGGTCGCTTGATTTATCTGACTATTACTCGTCCCGAGCTATGCTACTCAGTTCATATTTTATCTCAGTTTATGCAGCACCCAACTCGATCGCAGTGGGAGGTTGCGCTACGTGTTGTCCGATATTTAAAATCTAGTCCTGGGCAAGGTATTTTTGTACCTGTTACCCTCCTCAGACCCCTTACCGGTCCAAAATCAGTGATTCAAGTCCAACCTGCTCTAGTCCTTAAACCGAGTCCATGACTTGAGCTTAGTTATCCTAATAAATTTGACCTAATTTGGCAAATAACTTTATTAAAAATATTGATTTTTTATGGATTGCTATCGTGAGCAAATTTCAAATTTCAATTTTGTGGATTGTGAAAATGGATGTAGCTATGGTCATGTCTGAGCTTATGGCATATGAGACTTGATTCTTGACAATGTGAGAGATGTTTCATGAAACTGAGTACTTGGAGTTATTTATGTAGAAGAGCAGTGAATCGTGTATGAGATGCCACTTTGGCTGCCTCGTGTACTAATTCTGATGGTATTTCTTAATTTTAGTTTGATTTTATTGTATAGCATGGTTGGTAAACAATGAGCCTAGATCTAGAGTGATTGAAAATACCGACTTGTCTTATTTTTTGATAAACTAAGAAAGCTTTTTATAAGCTTTTATACCCTCAAACAACTAATTGCTATCACCAAATACAAACAGCTAAAGTAAAATTCCTTCAAAACGGCTAACATAACATCCATAGCTTCAAACACCGAACATAAACGCTAGCAAGTAATCAAACAGCCAATTTGCCTTGCCCATCTACTTCCACGACTTCACCTAAGGTTTCCCAGATGATAATAATTTGGAGTTTGGGACACTAATAAGTACTTGGGGAAAATAGAAACTAATAATCCAACCTTTTAGCGATATTCTTACAATAGTCCCACATTTTCATTATTCATGAATAATCCAACCTTTGCATCTCATCTTCATTCACTGGTCCCTGACCGGTTGATGACCTGTTATTCCAAGTTATTTTTTATCTTTGCAAACCATTATACCATAAATCTCACCTTTCACAAAGATAATATTTTGCAAAGATGAGAAAATAACTTGGAATAGCATATCATTAACCGGTCAGGGACCCGCGAATGAAAATGGGGTGCAAAGGTTGGATTATTATTGAATAACGAAAAGGTGAAACTATTGTAAGGAGACTGCTAAAAGGTGGGACGATTATTAGTTTCCATTTTCCCTAAGTGCTTCAGGTATATTTTGAGGAATAATTTTAATAGGTATATATTATAATGTGTTAGTATTGATAACTGTGATGTTATAAATGTATTATTTTTAATATTTAATGACTAATTTTTCACTTAAGAAAGTGAAACCTTCTAACAGGACGTCCAAAAGAGGAAAGTGAGAACCTTCTAATAGGATGGAGGGAGTACTAGCTAGTTATGTTTTGAATGCAAAACGTACGAGAGTCGAGACAACACAACGACATCAACTCTGGAGCAATTAATAAGTACATCACAATGAGTTATGTCAATTGACTCAATTCAAGTCTTATACACGAAAGGACATAAAATGACTCAGATATTCAATGACATGGTATCCTTTTGTTACCATATACACTCACTCTCTCATCAATTTTATAAACTTAGAGCCTAAAAAAACTAGCAGCAAATATTGTACTCCAGTAAAAAGGGCACCCTAAAGGTTAACATCTGAACATGTGACAAAATGATGGCGGCGGCACTTATTTCCATAGCTTGACCGAGCTATCATGGCTAGCAGAAGCAACCATTCCAGTGAGAGGAGATTGGGCCAGAGCTGCAATTATGTTCTCGTGCGCTGGAACCGTCATGCTTTTGTTCTCAACCATGTTCCACAACTCCAGAGACTGCAAATAACAATATTAATATTAATCAATGTAGGATAAAAACCTTAAGGGTCTGTCTGGAACTGGAAAACACATGTGAAATAAATGTAAGGAAATTTAGAAGATGGAAACCATTTTTCGGGAGATATAAGAACATTGAATGGCTCAAACTCAATAAACTTATTTTTGTATCTTTTCACTCATTTTATTTTTCTCTTTCTTATTTAAAGACTAAGTAATCTTGCAACATGTAGACATTTAAAAAAAAAAAGAAAGGAAAGAATGGCATAAATATTACTCATACACTTTCAAAGGACAAAAATATGACTGATTTGTATTTTTCCAGAAATATGACTTAATTCAAGCGCCCTATGGTTCGGACTTTGCTTGCGACTGGTGAGCTAATAGACTCCTCCCTCTTCTACTACGATGGCAGATCTGCGAGCGAGATGCCAGTGAAGGACACGACCAGCGCCGACCTCATCTCAACCAACGCACACCGCCGCTGTCTTCATTGCAGACAGGCTTGCCGATGTCTTCATCGCAGCCAACCCATGCCATCTCCAGATCTGTACTCTTCTTCTTCACCTTACTCTGGCCGATATTGGTAGCGACGAACAGATCTCCACGACGGCGGCTACAATGACATGAGGCTAGGGTTCGGAGACGACTGTCACATTTGCGACCACCAGCGATTTGTCCTGCTGTAGAGTTTGGGTACAGGGACAGCGGCTAGGGTTTCTGAAGCGGCGGCTTGGTGCGACGGCTTGGCGGGAGAGGTCGGGGCTTAAGCGCTAAAATGGTGGGCCGATTGTGGTTGGGCTGATCGGGGCTACATCGGGATGCAGAGGCGTGGATTGGGGACTGGGTTGGGCTGGTCAGAGTAGGAGCTGGGAGGTTGGCTGGGGGCGGGAGCAGGGACAGGGGCTGGGGTGCTGGGGTGTGGGGATGGGGAGGGGCAGGGGCAGACGGCAGTGCCGGTGGGATGGCAGTGCCAGCGGGCGGCAGTGTCGGGAAACAGATTTGATTGAAAATTATAACCGTAAGTATCCCTGTTTGGTCGTGAAAAGTCGCCGGAAAAATTTCCGGTGGTCACAGTGGCATGTTTTACTGTGATAGTGACATTCATAAGTGACATAAATTCTAATAGTGACAAACTCTCAGTGACATGAAAAAATTGTAGTGACACAAAAATCAAAGTGGCATAACGATTTTCCACATATATGATCAAATTAATCACATTTTGTCTATATTTAAAAGTAGTCACATTTTAGGAAATTGACTTCAATTAGGTTATATTTAGGGGAAAAACCCTTTAAAAACCTTTAATCATACTTCATTTTACTTTGCCTTATTTGAGGTTAGACTAAACACAATGTTAAAACTTGAGGTTTCATCCTAAAAGACTAACCTAAAATACTAACCTAGTAAGAGTACCCCAAAATCTTTATGTTTTGATTTGACTGAAGTAGGACATATACTTCAACATAATATACTAACTTTCTTTAGGATGTGTTTGGATCAAGGGGAGTGCTAGAGGATTATAAAAATACCAATTGAAATTACATGTGCATAATAAAAATAAAAATAATACTGTAAAAGGGGTGCAGTAAGTTACCCCCTTTCCTCCGATGACTAAGAGGGCAGAGTAACTTGGATGGAAAACACAAGAATGAAATTGGTTTCCATTGGCGGTGAACTCATGAATAGTGTCACCAGTTCCCAACGACCAAACTTTGACACACTCCTCACTCACTGTTGCCAGCAGTTCTCCATTTAGATCCCAGCAAAGGTAGTTAACAACTCCGGAATGTCCCTAGTAACAGATGTAGAAGTATATAAATGAGGCTATGAAGCAGTTACTTGATGATTACTTCTACATCATAGAAGAATTATAAATTATAATTTACATTTCACAAATACCTGGAAAGAATGGAGCTGCCGGTCTGTCTCAACATCAAAGATGGATACCGTCTTATCTGATGCAGCTGCCAGAAGATGTCCAGTTATAGGTTGAAACCTTACTTGAGCACTTCCTCCTTGCTATTGTGCATGATGGAAATTAGGCCAAGTAGAGAATATTATTGAATCTGGGTAGAAAATTTTATTGAGAATTTGACACAGGAATACACTTAGATGGGCATACCTTAGACACCCTAGTACATGAGAATGGAGAAATATTCCAGTAACGAACTTCATTATTGCTGTCACAGAAACAGAACATATCGTTCTTTTTTGGATGAAAATCCAGGGACATAACATGTGAAGTATGTGAAGTATAGGCATTCAAACAATAGTCGGCCTACAATAAGGAAATAATGTTTTCGTTGTTAAAAAGGGATGGAAAAAGAGTGGTTATAAAATAGGACTGACACATTACAACAATAATATGAAAATTTATATGTAAAGATCAAACTTTGAAAAGAACCAAACTCTCAGGCAAAGATTTTTTTATTACATTAGCTGCATCCCAGAGTCTCACAGACTTGTCAAATGAAGCTGTTGCGAGCTGGGTTGAATTTGGCCGGAACCGCACATCAGTAATTAAGTGTTGATGTTCTTCTGGAGTCATCTCTGTTTGCAAAGTGTCCATGTTCCAAATTACAGCCTGAAACAAAGACCAATGTGACACAATGAACATGCATAATATTTGTTTAATGAACCAAAAAGAAACTGTAGCTTTCTTTTAGTCATAACTCATCAACTTTCTTTTGGACTCAAATTTAGCTTAAACTGTTATATAGTTGGTCGATGAAATTGATTAAATTGATTCTTAATTGCATAGTCGACCAAATTGAGTCACAAAAAAGTCAAGGACCAGATGCAGGGATGCCGCAGCAAAAAAAACAATATGCAGTCAAAAAACCATCTTAGCACCTGAAACGTTTCATAGTCACCCATATCACCAACCTGTTTGCCTAGGCAGAGAGTTGTGCCCTAGGCAACAGAGAAAAAACTCCACAAAAACGTAAGCTTACAGTGCAAGAGGTATGCATACTCATAGGAGTCTAGGAGAGGAAAAGTACTATGAAACTAGCAGTGTGGGTGAAATCTAGCTCACTTCTAAAACAGAGAAAATAAATGACAATTTTCTGCTTCATTAGACCACTTGGAGTGGTGTAGGATTAGGAGTCCAAAATGTTAAAAGTGGAATTTTTGGACTCCTAATTCCTTGTAGTGGTTGGCAAAGTGGGGGAGTAAAAATGGATAATGGGATAGAGGGTTCTATATTTGAAGGGTGAAGTTGACTCCCTAAAATTAAATGAAAAAAGAAAAAGTAAAAAGGGTGGGGGCTGATAGGTTGGTTGCGCAGGGGAAAGATGGCCTCTGGGGCATGGTGCGCAGATATAAACCATATGCATGACGTCATGATAATGTTATGCATGTGTCACGGGGCACTAACAATGGCATGTTTCTATTTAAAAAATTGGTAGATCCAAGGGTTGTGATCATTTGGACACTGTTTAAATAGGAAAAAGATTGATCCAACGACTGAAATTGAAATCCAACAGTTGAAATAATTTATTTTATTTTTCAATTATTTTTAATTAAAAGTTTGCTGGGAAAAAATAGTAATGAAATTTATTTATTTTTACATCGAAATGTGTCTTTTTTATTTTATGATTAATCAGAGAAAAAATCAAAAGGAAAACATTACTTATAATAATTTAATTAATGTTTTACTAAATTGATATGTAAAAAAATGTCCTGGGTGTATTTTATTGACAGTGCTGGAATGCAGAGAAATAAGAGTCATAACACTGTTTTCATATTGACGGAGTCCATTTTTGACATTTGGACTCTTGCACCACTCCAAATGGTCTTAGGGTTCCAACACATGATCATCCATATGAAACTCGACACCGTCTCCTGCTGAACTAAGACAAATATGTACCTTCTAATTCTTAAACATTAGCTACTAGTATATTACACAAGTAACAGAATTAAGATAAGTGGTTGAGATTAAAATATAAATGCATTTCCTGATTCTAGTATCCACCGATGTTGAATGCATAGATAGAACATTCATTTCATGAAGTATTTACAAAAAATATTTCTAGCTCCCGCACCAAACAAATTTTAGAGCACCAAGTAAGGGCAAGGGGCTGAACCTGGTATCTACAAAAATGCAGAAAAACTAAAGAAACTCTTTTTCTAAAAGGGCTAGTATAGCATGCCTCATCAGAAAGAATCAAAGAAATTGTCTATTCAATGTTATAAAAGGTAAAATATTCTGCCTTAGCAGCAGCCCACCTTCTTGTCATGCCCAGCACTGGCAAGCAACTTCCCATCCGAAGAAAAATGACAGCAAGTTACTTTATTTCTTGTCCGAATACAGCCAACTTCCCCAAAGGAAAACCCTGAGAAATGAATTCTAAAAGTGAGGTACTGACTCAAACAATCAAGCAAGCAAGTAGGAATGCTTGATACTCACCTTTAGAAGGCTCTGGCTTGTGCTCTGTGAGAGTAGATTTTAATGAACCATACATATTTCCATCTCCCCCATCATTTGATAAAAAAGACTCTACATTATCTTCCAAGGAACCAATGTCTCCAAAGTTCTCCAAGTCATCCTGTACCAAATGGGAAATAAATTTTATGGGGAACTGAAAGATAATGTCAATTTTGCATTAACACCAAAGCGACAAGACATTGTGAATTTGTGAGCATGGTCAGTGAACGAATTTTCAGGGATGACTGGGTACTAAAAAGTTGTTTCATATATCATACTGACACTACAAATAATTCATAATAATCAAAATTAATTTTTCATAACAGTGCAAGCGGGTGTAGCACAGCATAATATAAAAATTATTCCGCCATGGCGGCCATGCACATAGAATAAAGCAAAAAAGCTTACCAGCTGATTAGTAGATGATGCAATACCACCAGTTCCATCAACACCATACATCCTCAAGCTGTTTGAAACATTGTTGACATGTTGCATGCTGCTAGCCGTGGCCATTGCGTCACCAGGCGTATGTGTTGAAGGTGGTGAATTTGGAGAAGGGCCAACAGTATTCCCAGTGCCCGTACTATTGGCAGGTCCAGATGAGGAATGTTGCTTCCTTTTTCTGTTAGCCTGTACCACCAAGATAAAAAGGCTCATCCAAATAAGCACAAAATATGCATAACCAACAATGTAGTGAAATCGTAAAGACACGAATCAGAAGCACAGGAATTGCAAAAAAAAAAAAATAAAGAGGAATATACCTGCTGCAAATGTTGCTGCTGCTGCTGCAATTGGTCCTGTTGCTGAGAGGAAGATTGCTGCATTTGGGGCATCTTCATCTACAAGACATAAACACTCAGTAACAGGCCAACTAAACCTGAAAAAGAATTGTAATCTAACTTCGATACTGACCAAAAACAACTCAAATTGATAGATTAGACAATTTCCCATCATTTTCCAAATAGTTTGGCTCTTTACTCACAAAGCAACCCACCAAAAATTGATAGAAAACAAAGGTACATAGAGCTTCCATCAAGGACAACTACTTGCATGTTTACCGATATTATGATTATAGAGGGTGCATTACATTCCCTGAAATGCCATGACTCATGAGACAGCACTTTACCCAATATACCCTAGTAAGCTTGCAGCCGTGCAGGTAATCAACCTCAGAAAGCTATGTTTGCATAGAGCGTTTGAAGTACAAGGAATAATAAACCTATGGATTAAGACTTGGTGAGAAACATGTTCTCTGATTTCTAACATAAGTAAAACCCAAGAACAGACGAAGAGGGTCAAACGCAGAAACAATGTGTGGCTCATCCCTCTGGCAGAGTAGCAGCTAGACAGAGAGGTATGAGATGTTCAGGGGAGGGAATCTCTATCTGTCTTTAAACTCCAGAGTCCAGAAAACTAAGTATGTTTCCAAGAATAACTCGATGTCTAAGAGGCTGTGCTATGCGAAATATAACTTGGAAACCTGGTATTTTAGAATACATCTTAAAATAGAAATTTTACTGTGTTGTTATTGAAGAAAGGCTAAAGGGTCAAATAGGCCCTTGAACTGACCTAAAGTGTTCAATTAGCCCCTTATATAGGAGGTTCTACCCGGCCGTCGCCAATTGGGGCGGTTCCCGGTGGAATTTTTTGAGCATCTTCTTCATTAAGTCTAGTTTACTCATACCAAATTTCAGCTAAAAATTCAACAGGGAAGGCAGTCAAATGATTTTTTGAAGATAGCTGCGAAGTTAAACAGCGCAGTAAATTTCGAAAAATCATTTGATTGCCTTCCTGGTTGAATTTTTAGCTGAAATTTGGTATGGGTAAACTAGACTTAATGAAGAAGATGCTCAAAAAATTTCATCAAAAAATTCCACCGGGAACCGCCCCAATAAGCGACGGCCGGGCAGAACCTCCTATATAAGGGGCTAATTGAACACTTTAATTCAGTTCAAGGGCCTATTTGACCCTTTAGCCTTGAAGAAAAAGAAGATGGTTATCATCAGGAACAGATAAAATAAAATTGGTTCATAGTAAAAAACTAAAAAGGAAAAGGCATAATTCAAACAAATTCAGCAAACTATTTCCTATGAAAAAGCATTGATTGATGACTGTAAGCGGTCTATATGTACATAACTTTATTCAGGGAAATGACCTTGGGAGAATTTGATCGCACAGGAGAGCATATAGATCCATCATTCCTTGGAGGTTGACCATCTTTTGGATTAAAGTTACCCCTTGGTAACCCACCAAAACCATAATTAGAGTTCCCAAGGCTGTTTTGTGTTTGGGCTTGTGCTAGGGCCTGATGTTGTTGGGGTGACATAAGAAACTGATTCTGGGTCTGTAGATTAGGCTTTTGCACTTGTATCCCTCCCATGCCCTGTCTTATTTGGTCAATTCCCTGCAAAATATAGAATGCTTTTGCACAATCAATAAATTACTTCAAGAATGCATCATAAGATCATGTGGCACACCACACACATGAATCATTAGGAACTTACAGTGAGGGGCCATCCCTTAAGTGGTAGGCTAGTGACACCTTGATTCAAGCCTGCAAAGTAGTAATAAGAGAACAGTTGTGCACAACAGAGAACAGAAAACTAATAATGTGATGCTGCTATTATTCAACCAAACAATGAATGCTTCCAATAATTTTGAATACATTAACTTTTATTTATAAAGAATTTGTCTAATAGTTCATCACCCCAGTGCCGCAAAGGCTCCCACCTACGGTGGGGTAAAGGGGGGTTGGATGTACGCAGTCTTACCCCTCTACTAAAGCACAGAGAGACTGTTTCCGGATGACCCATAGTTAATCTGGAAAAATCATGTACCTTGTACAATACTTAAAAACTAAAGTACTTGTGCTGACACAACCACAAATAAATGATGCAGGCTGTAGATGTGCAGAGAAATCAACACACAGCTTTACAATTGCAAATAAAAACTACTTCAGTAAGAGATGCATTTATATTTTCATAAATGATTAAGACATTCTTAACATATTTGTATGTTCTGTTGATATTAAAGTTTCTAGTATCATAAAACAGAAAGATTAATCATTAATATGTCTTTCACACGTGCAATTCTAACAATATATTGAAAATTAATCAGTTTACCTGCACCACCAAGCCCAGACTTGGACTGAAGAATTGCTTGGCCATAAATGGATGAAGGATCCATCGGTAACGATTTTTGATTGGCACCTAAGTTCACTTCTCCTTTGATGTCCTACACGATCGAATATATATTAATTTGCTGGATCTAACACACAAAGTGCCTATTAGTGAAGGGGAAAGAATAAAAGGTCCATGAATTTACAGATCCCAGTTGAGGCCTTCCTTGCATCTGCTGCAAAGCTGCCGACACGCTCCCAGAATTACCTTGAACCAACTGGCTGAATAAGCCACAAGAATGGAAAATGTTGAGAAAGAACTCTGCAGTTTTATTATGCTAGACTGAACAAAGTTTGCAACACCATAAAAATCACATACATGTAAAGGCTGTTCAAATCATATATTAGACCGGATCGATTAATCGCAAATTGTAAATCGAGAACTTAAGAAATATCAGCTAAAAATTACTACTACTTCAGGAAAAAAACAGAAAGTCATAAAGTAATAGTAAGTCAACAGATAACTTCTGTGCGTTGTTCCTATTTTACCGGATTTCCCCGAAGGGACAAGTCAACAGATAACTTAAAAACCTTACATGTGACATCTTAAACCATGTTACAAGCTAATCTATGGCATAGACCATACAAACAACAAGCACACAACATATTTGGAATACAAAAAATTACTCATCAATTCCATTTCATCATCACCAGCACCAAAGGCATTGCTTTTATTACTATTAGGGCTATAGAATTATAGATATGAATCTACTTATCCATATCATTTATATGCGATTCTTCTCAATTCAAATACGATCTGCTCGCAGAGTCATAGGATATAAAAATGTGACTTGAATTGATAGGTAGACCTTGAAGTCTTGAACCCTAAATGGTTCTATGAGTTGGACAGTGATTTTAACAGCCTTACTTACACTAGAAGAGCAAAAATTATATTAGGCATGTTGTGCTATATAGACTTGAAAGCTTAAAAATCAAAATCATACCATTAGATGATTCTATTTCTACTCTCTAGTGAGTGTACATGAATGGTGATGATCAATATTTTCACGAACAACGTGACAACAAACTTCAATCTTTTTTGCATATCACTAAATGTAAATGATGGAACTGAATTTTAATACGTAAGTTGAGAGAGGTTTTTTGTATTGCAAATATATGATTGGCTGAGGAGTCCAAAGTTCCAAACCCCCTAACTGAGGGAAGGTGTTTGAAGAAACAAAGCTCAAGCAGACTCTACTTTGAAAAGTACGCATAGTCAGCTTTACATAAGCTATGTTCAAAGTTTCACACCTAAACCTGTCCCATTGGGCTAGTTGTTATGCTAGTGACTCTCCAATAGGCATAAATTCATTGGATTCCATCATAAGCTCTTGATTTCATCTCAGAATGTTTTTATTGACACTTTTTATTTTTTGTATTAATAGTTAACTACAAACCATGTAAAAGTGAAGATGTAATGTGAATAAAATAAATAGATACCATAATGCCACACCAAAAACAAGTCTTGAAAGGTAGGAATGAGAGAAACAACTCCCATAAAAGCGACTCGCATATGAGACGGCATAGTTGGGATGATCTCTCATCGAAAGCTCCTTGTTATGTTGAACATACTTTCTTTATGTAGTTAAGACGTAATGATCCATTACACCTTAATTCGTTAACCATAATTCCACATAGGAGGACCATGCTCAAAATTTTGAGGAACAGTTAATATAGTAATTGGTATTAAACTATTAATACTCCATAATAACTAAGGTACTAGAAAGCTTCAGACATACACAGGGTAATTTTGTACCACCCATAATCAACAAACTCTTTTTAAAACTATCAGTGGTCGCATGGGTTTAATGTGCCAAACTCCATTGTGATATAAAAAATCACACATTGACCCCTTCAAATTTAAAATATGTGTCACCTCTTCTGTTATAATTAATCATGCACATAACACCTTGAAGCAACAAATTTAGCCGTTAGCAAGTAAATTTGTCAAGATCTTTAAACTACACAAAAAATACTAATCATGTTCCTTTTATTCGATCTATACACTTGTTCTTCTGTAGATTTATGTGCATAAATATTCACAACATAAGAGGTTCGATGTAATTTTAAAATCACAAGGAGCTAATGCACAGAATTTATATATCACGAGGGGGCATGGCGCATTAAACCGGTGGTGGCAAGTATTTGAGGGTAGAGATTTGAGAAGAAAAGCTCGCATAGGAAGACCACCACTTAGACAGTCAGACATGTGGAAGCCATAACAGTGTGGGACTTTGTCATTTAGTCAATTGACTTGTCATGTAACTCATGTTACTCTAGTTTATGAAAACTCTGAAGAATAGAAAGTCAATGTGTTGAAGATGAACAGTAAGACATTGCAGAGACCTATGGCCCATAGTAGTCAATGGCTAGATATGGCGCGCGCCATATGCGCCATCGCCATGAAAAACTGGTCGTCGCCATAGCGCCATATGCGCTTTATGCGCCATTCATATATGCGCCATGAAAAAAGCCCTTGAGCCATGGTGATCGCCGTGCGCCATGACCACTATGCTATGGCCAAAATCATTTTGTTAGTTGACAAGTATCACATTGCCTGGATACTCAATTGGCTACTGATACCATGTTGAGTGGAAACCCAGAGTTTTACCAAGTTTGGTCCAAAGAAGTTTACAACACCATGCGTAATCGCTTAAAGAGATAAGAATACAGATAAGAGACTGTAAATATGTTAATTGTGCTTATGTGCTAAAAGTTGTTATTTATATGTCAACTAAATACAACATATACTACTATGCAGATTTGTAATATTCAACATAATAAAATAGAGTTACCAGTTCAAAACATGTTAACCGTAATTTAAATAAAAATGTAAAAGGAATCAGATCGAAAAAGGTTGCATCATTCATACCCTTGATTGGCAGCTGACTTCAGAAGGGCCATCCTGTTAGGATCCATTAGAGCTGATGATGACTCTGAGTCCATTGAATGGGGGTTCTTAGCTCTTTCCTCAAATATTTTCATAGCTAAGACACTGGCAGATGGCTGCCCCGCCATACTTTCAGAATTGATGGCATTAATAGGACTACCCAGTGGAGGGTGATTAGGATCCCTGCGTAACTGGACATTACGCTGCTGCATGAGTTGCAATTGCTGCATTTGAATATGCTGCTGGTGTTCCCTTGCTTTCATTTGTTGTGTCTATTCCAATGAAAACGAGCAGATTAATGGCATTTTATAGTAAATGCAAATCATGTCTGAAGAGGCATCCAACTATCTTCTTTTTTCCTTTTCTTTGTTTAACTTAGACCAAGAAGGGAGAATAATTGAAAGTTCAAGAGACCTCAATGTAAGAGGCAGCAGCCTCTGAATGCTTCTCATTTGTCCTTGCTATAAAGATATCCCAGAATACAGACCACCACTCAAAAAGAAACCCACCAGGTGCATCAATAGCTGCAAAAAGAAAAAACGCAACTGCAAATTCCTAAAAGCTTCACATTCAAATTGGAAATGGGATTAAAGTAAAAAATGAATAAAGCAAATGGCAGTAAAAGAAAGACCTGACAGCTATAGTTATCACTCAAAATCAAGCCAAAACGCACAATAATCAATGTTATTTACCTACAGGATCAGTCGCTACCTTCCCTTCGGTCATGAAAGCTTTTGCAGAATTGTGCAGTTTTCTTTTCAACAAGTAGTCGTGAATGTAAACATCGAGCCTAACATGACATGGGGAGTTCAGCAACAATCAGAAACCAGAAAATTCACACGGCTATGCTACATTCAATTGTATAAGAACTGCACGGTTTTCCCATTCTCAGTTGTGTACTAGTGAACAGGTTGTCTTTCTTAGTAGCTATTTGTATCAGAACCAAATAATTCTCTCTGGAATCCTTTACTAGACATTCAGATAAGTGGTGTAGTAACTAATCAAGTATCCCACGAGAATTTCTTTAGCTAAAACGATTGCCATTGTTCTCTCAATTTCTCAACCAGGTATTCATGTTATGTCAAAAAGGAATTGAAAAACAGTGTTGTCTCAGTTGCCAGCCCACAATTAAAAACAAGTGAATAAAATCGGAACTAGTTCTGCAGTAAGGCTGCATACATCTTATCTGCCTCCCAATTACTCTGAGCCATGACTTTACTCCAAGTCCACACTTAAGCAGTAAAAGCAATACTTTACGCACCGCAGCTTCAGTCCTACGATAACGACAGAGAAAACTAAAAAATTAGAGCTAAATAAGAAGCATTAAAATAATAAAACGATAAAAGAGAAGCAAACTTCTACCTTTTCTAATCGCGGAAGACTCGAGTATACGCCAAATTCAGAGATCAAAAGGTGCATTGCCCAAGCGAAGTGAGATCTTCAATTATTAAGCTATCAGTCTTACAACATAACCAGAGGAACGGAAATTAACAATATTAAGGAGTGAAAATAAGATCTCAAGTAATTACTCCGTAAAACACTATCCATTCAAAGATCCCGTAATTCCATACTTTTAACGGAATTCGACAGAACTAGCCATTCCAAATTTCCAAACCAGTTTAACTTCAAAAACGGCGGATAATTCAAAGGAGAGAAAGAAAAAAAAATCGAATTAAAATCTGATCCCATACCAGATAACGTACGGTGAAGGAAACCTCAAATTACATTAATTTAAAATTTAAATTATCTTAATTTTTTTTAGAAACAGAAAACTCGTGAACCACTACCGCACTCAATTCCTTACCGTTTTCGGAGAAATGCTTTCAGAATTTCCCAGCGATAAAGCCGGAAAAATTCAGTGAAGCTGAAATTAAGATGACAGAAGCTTCATCGGAAGAGAGAGAGGCGAGTAGACAGACGGACAGAGAAACATCGATGAGAGATAAAGAGAGCCGAAAATAGTTACCTGATGGACAGGTTGTCACGAAAGGGGCCGAGCCTGAGGCTCGAAAGTCCAGGCCGGCACTTTGTGGCGCTTGGGTTCGGTTCGTAGCTGGGTTCGGGGGGCTCCGTTTAGGTTCGGAAAAGCGTGGGGCAGGTTCGGGAACTAGCGTAAAAGCCAAAGCGGCATCGAAGCGTAACGGCAGAGTGGGGGCGAGGGTTATTACGTGTAAGAAGAGTGAATGGCTACGTGTTGGAGCTTTATAGGCTGGGGTGGGGACGTTTTTTGCATATATTTAGAGGGAAAAAGTAGTTGAAGTGAGTCCAGTGGGCTTTCGAGTAACCAGCCGTACTGTGTCGTGCCCTTATGCGCTTGGCATTATGGTCAATTGATGGTTCATGAGAATATTTAGGCGTGTCAAAAACAAAGAAAATTCTATTTATACACTGCAGTTTGTACATGTCATTGTACATGCTGATCAAATCATCTGTAAACAATAATTTATTGATGATTTATGAAGAAAATCGATTTTCACAAAGACAAAAAGAAATTATGTATCACAGACAATTTATTTAAATTGTCTGTATCACAAACAATTTATTTAAATTGTCTGTGACACGGACAATTTGATCGGCATGTACAAAAGAAGTGTTCCATTGTTTGTGATATAGACACTTTTTTTATCTGTGTGAAAATCGATTTTCTTCATAAAAAACGTGTCAAATTGTTTGTGCACAGTCAATTTGACTAGTGTGTACACAAAGCAGGACTGTTGATATAAAGTTATCAAGTACTACGTAGAAATAGAGATGATAATTTCGGCCGACCCGTTGGATACCCGCACCGAACCGATTTGGTCAAACTGGGGAAAACCGGTTTGACTGGGGAATGGGTATGGGGCGGGGAATACCCGAATTTTTTAAATGGTTAACGGTGCGGTTATGGTTCTATACTAATCCGCCCCGTTATCCGCCCCGTTATCCGCCCCGAAACCGCCCCGTTCACTAATGGTGCGGGTACCCGCACCGTTACCCGATCCGTAATATTATTAATGAATTATAACTTTTTATATATAAGAATAATAAGTATATATGCTAAATTGTGTATACTAAATAGTATACTTCGTATATCATATAAATAATGTTAAAAAGTATACTACTTTTTAGGCCTAAAACTAAATATAGGCCTAAACCTGTTTCTGGAATTTGGATTCTGGGATGATTACTAGTTACTACCTTTTTATTATGTTACAAGAGATATTAGAAGCATGTCATACCAATGGATTTAGGCCAGTCTGCTTGGTTACTTAAATATTTACTTTTGTATGTTTTAGGGTGCTTTGAATATATAAATAACAAGTGGGATTAGAAATTGGTTATTTATTTTCCGAAAAAAATGGTTATTTAACATCATTTGGGGGAACGGTTACTCGTGGATAAACCGATTCCAACGGGAATGGGGCGGTTTTGGGGCAAACATTTATCCAACGGGGCGGTTTCGGTTTTATGTGTACCCGTCCCCGATCCGCCCCGTTGCCATCACTACGTAGAAAATAAAGAAGAGTTTGATGTACACACATGGTGTACATCCTTACTAATTTTATATCTACAAGGCAGTTTTGAACGTATTGTCTGTGTAGACGTGACAATTAGGGGGTGTACCCTGTACTATATATGTACAAAATATGTGGTTTTTTTACTCCAGGGGGTATGGAGTAATCAGGGCTGAAACTCACTCCATTGAGTTTTGAACCCTAGACCTTACGTAAGGGAGAGTGAGTCGGCGACCAGCTGGGCTGGACCATTTCCTCATGTACAAAATGTGTGTATTGATAGCATTTTGCATGAAACAAAGTGAAGATGCTAATAGGCATTAGCTAACATGGAGCATGCCAATTGTCCACACGATAGCAACTTTCAATTTGTTTTTTATTTATTTATTTTCGGTTTGGTTTGTTTTGGAACGGATTGGAAAAATTATTACCAAACGTAAATCATACTACTTTTTGGTTTAGTTCGGTTTGGATTTGTTATTTTTAATAACATATGAATATGAATGTTTATTGAATTTCTTTTGTTCGTTTCAGTTTTTTTTTCTCAATTCAGTTTAATATGGTTTGGAAGAAAAAGTATCAAACCCAAACCAAATTACATTTGGTTCGGGTTCAATTCAATTTAGTTCAGTTTAGTGCGGATCGGATTGATAAAACCAAACCGATATGCCCACCCCTAGCTAAATTGGTCCTTGGTATGAAGTTTTTTTTATCCTATATTTGAGTCATAATAGAGATGTTATTATGGTTATATACTCTGCTCGTCTCATTTTTGTTATCTTACTTTTATTTTTGAATTATCCCAAAAAGAATGTCGTGTTTCCTTTTTGCGAAATGTGTGGTTTATATCATATCACTTTATTCTACTTGAATCTCATCTACAATTGTTACTTTTCAACCACTATTACTCGTAATAGTTTTGTCAAACTAAAACAAGACAATCAATAAGGGACAAATGTAATATTTGCCTTTTCTTTAAATAATTAAAAAAATAAACCTCTTATTGTGTGGGTATGATCCCAAATACATTGTAATAGGCTCGTGGATATAGCCAGTGTTGATAAATTTTCGTACTTTTTCATTTGACGGCCTTCCCGATGGAATTTTTTGCTCAAAATTGGTATGGATGAACTGGACTTGATGAGGAACATACACAAAAAATTTGAGCAAAAATAACCACCGGGAACCTCCCCAAAAGGAGGAGGCCGGACGGCGCTCCGGTCAGGAAGGGAGGGACCGGAAGATTACTATATATATATATATATATATATATATATATATATATATATATATATATATATAGTCATGTTAATCTCTGACAATGTCATCATGTAACACCCCGACCCCGCAGGCCCCGAGGTAGTTACTCCAAATCTCTAGTACTGTCCTCACAAACCGCCACTAGCCTTTTCCGCGCCCTGAGAAACTTCTCAGGGGGTCACCCATCCCAAGTCTACTCTCATGCAAGCACGCTTAACTTTGGAGTTCTTGGGTGATGAACTCCCTTAAAAGGAGATGCACCTCTGTTGGTATGAGTAGTACTATTAATCCATTTATATTAAATCTCAAGTGTTACACATCATGTCCGCCATTAATGGAGAACAAAAATAGGCATGTCAAAATGTACTTTATGAGGATATGACTAACTATATCATATATAAATAGTCTTTATCTACAAGATCCTCAACATAAGGTGATACAATGTAATAATATACTAGTCGTAACCACAATTACCTTTATGGTTGACCCTTTGACTAATGTTACCTTGTGAAAACACATGCCAATTGTAATGTCACTATCCCTTATCCTTAAACGACTTGCATGGCCCCATCACAACCACCCATAGTCATCTTTATAGGGTCCCTTACTCGATGTCCAATAGACTAGCCAAGTCTCATAAAAGGATATGGCCATTTAGGGAAGTGAGCATCACCGCCGCCAATATGTGGTCCCTACATGCTCCGAATTGCTTAGATATCACTTTAACTATGCATAGGTCCTGTTTGCAAGTGATTGTGCTTAAATAAAAACACTTTTTGGGAAAAAATGATTAGTAGTAAAAGTTGGTAGTGTTTGGTAAAATAAGTATTTTTTGTGTAATAGAAAAAGTAAAAAGTAGATTCTACACGAAAACCGAGAAAGTAAAAGTAGATATTGTTTGGTAAAATAAGTGTTTTTTTCTTAAAAAAAGAAGAAGCCAAAAGCACTTAAATTAATTGTTTGCAAACAAAGCCATGGTCGTGCGACAAGCCACATGCATCGGGCATCACTCAATGGAGTTAACCATATCATGGCATTCACTCTAGTGAAACCTATGTCACAACTTCTATACACCTAAACTACTCAACCTTGAGTTACTCTCTCAAATGCCATGACTCATATCTCAAACACTAAATTCTCTATGACTTGGAAGAGAAAGCATCATCATCATATCGTGGTGCACATATAATGCTACACATATCTAGCTCATATATCTTGAAAAATCCACTCTCAATCAGTTGTACAACTTTAATGCAAATTTAATAATCACAAAAATATCAACAATGCATGACTCAAATCCTATAACATTCACATGTTTATTATCACACATTGAGGGATGCCGGATGGGTCTCTAACTGAATTCGTAAATATTCTAATGGAATTTAGAATTCCATTAGAGCTTATGTGTCCCCTTTTTGAATTGCCATGAAGTATATGAATTTAGTTACGAGTACTATTTATTTGGATGAATTTTAAATATTTTTGGTGGAATTATACGAACAAAAGATTCCATAAAAAATCCTATCAAAATCTCCTGGTTCTCAAAATCCTAATAAGAAAAAACAAGGGGGGGGGGGGGGGGGACGAGATCAAGAGCCTCAAAGAGATTGAAAAAGAGAGATGGTTGGAGGAACATAAATTTTTCTAGAATTTTTAAGGAAGTCATTTCGAAAAATCGATTCCTACCAACTTGATCATATGAGTATCACATCTACTCAAAATCAGACATCAATAACCAAAAAGTGATGATATGCGAGACATGATCCGCAAGTGTAGAGATCGACCACTGATTGCAAGAGAGGAGAATAGAAAGTCATATTGGGAAGGTAAGAGAAAGTCGGTCATTACGACCCGAAAACGAAGAAAAAACCCACTTGTGTGGTTAGGCGATGCAAACACATTTTGACTTTTTTCAAGTATAAGATTTTCAGTACTTGTCGACTCCGTGTATGCTTAAAGCATCGAAAAATACGACCATGCTTAAAACAAAGCTCTCCAAGTTAAGTTTTGAAGCCCTTTTAAAATCCAAATAACTCCATGATATTGAAATCCATAGAACCCTAGTAAAATCTTATAGAATCTATGGCGTTTTAATGGACCATGTAAAAGCTACTGTGTTTTAAACAACATCAAAGTCATTTTTGGCAACAAACCTTTTATGTTCGCATGCCTCGATACTCATAAAT